CCTGTGCCGTCTATCAGGTATCCCTCAGTCTGGGAGCTCTTGCAGATGTCTGACTGCCATGGGTTAGGAGAGGCTCCCACTATCACCATTATGCTCATCAGCCATGATCCTGGCCAAGGGCTTCTGGTTGAGTGGCACTCCCCCAGTCAGACCACACTGACCACCAGGGGGCAGCTCGTGCATTGAGCATCTGCCTCCTGCTGGTCAGTGGTCATCATACTGACCAGTCGTTTTCTGTTCAGTCTATTTGTATATTAACCTTTTATTATATAGGACTGAGGTCTGTCTGGCATGTCTTAAACAGGCTCAGCTTTTTGCTGTTATTTAGGTGGGGCTGGATAGGGCTCCCAGGAAGTGGGCAGTAGCTTATGCAGCTTGAATCTCTTGCAGGTGTCAAAGGAGGGAGCACTGGGCTTTCTCAACAACTTTCCCAGATATGGTGAAAAGGGGTGGGAGTATAGAAGGGGGTTGAGACTTGATAGTAGTCAAACAAAATGGAATCTGACCCTTGACTATAGTTCCTAATTATTTTTTTAAGCTATTGGGTTCAGTCATTAGACTATCCATTGCAAGTGGGTCCAAATACAATTGACTTTTGTATATTGAACTTTTTCCAGTAAGCTTGCTAAGCTCATTATTATTTCTAACTAGAGACCTGATACACAAATTCATGCATGGTTAGGTCCCTTGGAATGACCTGTGGAGATTGGACCAAAACCACAGTCCAACGCCACCTGCTGCTTCTGCCTGCCAAACTGCTCATCCTGGCCTAGCTATGCCTGCCACAGGATCACTGCCCAGTCAGTCCCAATTGAAAGAGGCTTGCGCCACCACAGCAGTGCTCACCAGCCATGAGCCCTGCATCTGGTGCCCACCCAAGGAGGGTGGGGTGGGGGTGGGATGCAATTGGCCCTCCAGGCAGATGATGGGGTACCCTTGCTGATATTTGCACCGGTTGTTGGGAGCCACCTAGTGATCGTCTTTATATTGTTTCTTCCTTGTGGAGCATCTAGGGAGGGGAAGTGGCCATGGTACTAGAGGCCAACTTCCAGGAGTCTGGCAGTGCTGTCAGGATTGTACTAGTGACATCAGTCCATCGGTGCCTGACCCATTTTCTGGAGGGCTACTAAGGGAAGCTGGTGGGCCACTGGGATGGGTTAGCCAGCTGAGCAACAATCACACTTTGGGAACTCACTGACCTCCAGGAGGCAGCTCCTGCTTTGAGCATCGTCCCTTTTGTGGTCAGTATGAGTCATAGCAACTGGACAACTAGTCATTTGGTCACTTAGGTTTTTTACGTAGATAGATAGCTTTTAGATTTTATATGATTTTTCTTATACAAGCAATGTCATTAACAAAGTTTTCTTTTGATTACAATATGCATATTTTTAATATTATTTTCTTGCCTTATTGCTCAGGCATGTATTCATTTTCATTTATCTTAAAAGTATTTTTTAATTGCCATGTGATTTTTTTTCTATTACCATTGATTATTTGGTACTGTGTTTCTTAATTTACACATATTTGTGAGCTTGACAAATTTCCTCCTGATTTTTATTTCTAATTTCATTCCATTATGATCATAGAATGTACTTATATCATTTCAATCCTTTTAAATTTACTGATGATTGTTTTATAGCTTAATCTATACTTTATCAGATTAAATTATAGTTCCTCAAATTTATATGCACTTGAGGAACATGTATAGGGTGAGGCAAAAGGAGGTTTGCAGTTGTATGTGAAACAGTTTATTTTTGTATTATTTTTTATAATTATTATATTATTTTTCATTATGAATCTACACTTGCTTCATCCTGTATTTTTTGCTGCTATTGGATGAAGTAATTAATTGATATTTGTTAAATATAGTTGGTTTATAGTATTAAAGTCTTCTAAATTCTTGCTGATTTTCTGCTTAGTCATTCCATTATTAAAAGTGGAGTATTGAAGTATTCAAGTATTATTTTGAATTGTTTATTTCTCCTGGCAATTCTGGAAGTTTTTGCTTTGTGTATTTTGGGGCTATGTTGTTAGGAGTATGTAATTTATAAGTGCTATATTTTGTTTACCATGATAAAAATACCCCTCTTATTTATTTCTTGTTTTAAAATGTATTTTGTCTAATGTGAGTATAGCCACTCCAGCTGTCTGATGGTTTTTCTTTCCACAATGTGTCTTTTCATATCCTAACACTTTTATTTTATTTTATTAGGAGGGAGCACTGGGCTTATTTATTTATTTATTTATTTTTAATATATTTTATTGATTTTTCACAGAGAGGAAGAGAGAGGGATAGAGAGTTAGAAACATCGATGAGAGAGAAACATTGATTAGCTGCCTGCTGCACACCCCACACTAGGGATGTGCCTGAGACTAAGGTACATGCCCTTGACCGGAATCAAACCTGGGACCCTTCAGTCTGCAGGCCGACGCTCTATCCACTAAGCCAAACAGGTTCCGGCCATCCTTTTACTTTTAAATTAATTGCAAATTTGAATTATTTGATTTATATTTTTATCTTTTTTTTTTTTTCATCTAGTCTGACAATCTCCGCTTGATGATTGGATCATTTTATACATTCACATTTAATGTTATTATTGATAGAGTTAGAAGTTAGATTTACAAGTACCATTTTACTTTTGTTTTCTGGCTGCTCATTTCTTTTCTGTTTCTTTATTCCTCTTAACTACTTTCTTTTGCATCAAGTGTTAAAGAAAGTAGTAATTAGGAGTGGTATTTTTTAGTGTAGCATTTTAATTCCTTTAGTGATTTTTAGTTATATTTTTATTACTCTAGGGCTTACCAGATACATCTTAACTTGTCAAAATCTATTTAATATTTATACTACTTTCAGTGAGCTGTAGAAATGTTACTCCTTTGTAGCTCTATTTATTCATTCTTCCTTTTGTGCTATTGTTCTTATATATTACATTTATGTCTGTTACAATATGCAATGCATATTTTTAGTAATCTACCCTAATATATAAAATCCAAGGGCCTTCATGGCCAAAATAACTGGATGGAATACCGAACACCGAACAGCAGGCTGTGTTGGGCAACAAGGTTGGCAGGGGGGTTAGTGAGGAATGACCAAATGACCAAGCAGCAGGCTGCGTTGGGCAACCAGGCTTGCAAGGGGGGGGGGGGGACATGTGAGGACGACCAGGCCAGCAGGGGGGAAGGGTGAGTGAGGATGACAAGGCCAGCAGGCAGAGGTGGTTAGGGGTGATCAGGCAGGCAGGCAGGTGAGCAGTTAAGAGCCAGCAGTTCCAGATTGTGAGAGGGATCCTGGATTGGAGAGGGTGCAGCCTGGACTGAAGGGACCCCCCCATGCAGAATTTTATACACCAGGCCTCTAGTCTATATATATATATATTTATAGATATATAAAGAGCCAGGTTGTAACATCAAGACGATCAAAGACTCTGCTAAATGCCAGGGTATGTTTGCAGCATTGAGCAGTCTGAACTGATGATCTCTCACAGAGAGGGAGTGGTGGGGCTGATCAGCAGTGGCAGCAGCCACTGGCAAGGCCTAGAGAGAGAAGCAGGGTGACCAGACAGCCAAGTTTCTTTCTCTCTCTCTCTCTCAGAGGTTAGCAATTCAGCCTGCTTGCCAGCCTCCCTCTTTGGTCCTTGAAACAGCTGTGGCCACTGCTGATCAGGCCCTCCCCCAGCGCAGGTGTGCAGAGCCCCTGCCACCCGACCCCCTACACTGCGTGTGCAACCTCCTCCTGTCTGGTCCACCTGTTATGGCATCCCAGTTAATTAGCATATTTCTCTCTTATATATGGAATACTAAGTGAATTGGCCCCTTTTTTTAAATTTTGTATCATGGAGTATTTGTATCTTGATAACATTCTGTTTCTATCTGGTACAGAGAGGCTTCTTGTAGGTAATGATGATAATAAGAATACTGCTCAGACATAGCGGTACTGAGATGATGGATTTATATCATGACTAGAGGCCTGGTGCACAAATTTGTGCACAGGTCGTGTCCCTTAGCCTGACTGGCAATCAGGCCCTATTATGAGGGCTGGAGGGCCATGGAGAGGGACTATGGGCAGTTGGCGAGCTGGCCATGGGAGGTTGGCTGGCCATGAGAGATTGGTTATGGGAGCACACTGACATGGGGCAGCTCCTGCATTGAGCATCTTTCCCCTGGTGGTCAGTGTATGTCATAGCAACCGGTTGACCAGTCATTCAGTCATTCAGTTTCTTAGGCTTTTATATATATAAATGTTTTATTACTTTAATAGCTAGATTTGCATATGTCTGGGAACTAATTTTGAAGTTTGTACTAATACAAAAGCAAGAAATAGAAAAGAAGAGAAGCCTAACATTAATTTGAGTACCTGTCAAGTTTGAATTATAGGCAGGGATACTTATACTAAACCTACAAGGCCAGTTTTGTGATCCTCAGTTCCTTCTGGAGAAGGAACCTGTGGTTCTTAGTGTTAGGTAATGGGTCTAAAGGTACACCATTAGTAACTGGTACAGCCTAGATTCAAACCTGGCAGACCACAGTCTGGACTCATTCCTACAACCAACAAAAACTTCATACAATGATATTTTTTTTTTTACCTGTTTCTACGACTTACACATACTGGTTATAATTACTAATGAATAGTGGCCACAAGGGTCCTTTGCCCATTTTATGTCAGATTTTAAGGTGTATCTCAACTGCACAATTCTAGGGTAACTTGCAACAGTAAGTATTCTCATTCCATCCAGCCTTCTAAGCAGTTTGTATCTTTATGACCCTACAACAGGGTTAGTGTCTGTTCTGGTCCCATCCACCTTCTGCTTCTCCTTCTCTTTGAGTTCTCTGAAGCTCCTGGCCCACAGTGAGGGGTTTTCTCAGGAAGGTGTGTTTGTGAATGTGCTTCAAGGTTACTCATGGCATATTTATGGTAGAATTGGATTAATATTCACACTGTGTATATTGTCTGTTTTGCTTTCATCTGAGAAATATAAATTTTTTGTTTGGGTTCATTTTAGCAGATTTAAAGAAAGCCTCCAGTTTGAATGCTGCCAAATCCTGTCTACCGAAGTCTGGACTTCGTCCTCCTGGATACTCTCGCCTGCCCGCAGCCAAGCTGGCGGCGCTGGGCTTCGTGCGGAGCTCCAGCGTGACCTCCGGCTCCAGCACCCAGTCCCTGGACAGCGCACAGCCCGAGCAGAGCCGGCTGGCTAACTGTAAGTGGGGCGGCTGGGCAGGCAGTTTGTGTGGTTCTCTTGTACAAATGCACCTCTTTCTCCAGATAGGAGCAGGTGAATCAGCATATGTGTGTAATAGTGTTTCATTTTCTTTATGGGTTGACTAGCTTAATATACCATCATTGGGATTTAAAAAAATAATCGACTGAAGAAAAGTAGCCCATTTCACACTATCATATTCTCAGTTATGGAGAATTGACAGGCTGGAAAAATACTTTTAGATTACCCTTAAACTAGAAAATGAATTATTCAGGGACAGGTTCCAGGAACCCTTTGCTTCATGGTTTCTAAATAAAACGTCCAAGATCCATAAAAAGGATCTTGGATGTTTTATTTACCACTTTGTGTTGTCATGAAACATATTATATTTTAAATATTAATGGAGAGATCACCTGTGATTACCTGTGATGCCTTCATATTGATGGAGCACTTGACTGGATGTCTAAAAGTTAATTCCAAGCTGTTAAAATTGGAAAACACAGCTGAGCTTTTTCAAGTCTGTGACCAGGATGGTCCCCATTAGCTGATATGATTGCTAACAGTCTCAAAGCAAGTCACAACACCAGTGTCCCTAAAGAAGATCCAGAGGCTGCCCATTTGTCTAAGCCTTTGATGACCAAATCCCACCTCAGCCTCATCAACTTCAAAATTATTGTTATTGGATCTGGATCCATGGCATCTTAGATGTTGGTTAGCAAGAATCTGCTGAGGGCCAGGAAATTTTAGAGGGTTTTTTTGTTTGTTTGTGTGTGTGTGTGTGTGTGTGTGTGTGTGTGCCTAGTAGTTTTATTTTTTTATTTTTTATTTTTTTAAATTATATGTATACATACCTTACCAATCCCCCCCACTCCCATACATGCCCTCCGTCCCCAGAGTTTTAGAGGTTTTTATGTGGGGATCTATTTTGAAGCAATTATAGTAGTTGGATCGGATTGGAGGAGGGACAGGGACAGAGACATGGAGAGAGAAAAAGAGAGATTGGGAGATCAAGCTGAGAAAGAGTGACTGAGAATGAGATTGAAAAAAAATATATATATATATAATAAATATATATATATATATATATATATATATATATATATATATATATATATATTTCCTTCCTCCAAGCTTCTTTTTCCATGTCTTGTGTTTACAGAGGTGATCTGTGGAACATTTGTACACTTACAGTTCTAAATTTTAGTCTACTTAGTTATACCTAGAAGTAATGCATGCATTTTTATTTTTCTTTATCTTGATGTGTTTGTAAGCAGTTTCTAAGAGGTTTTTTTGCTCACTTGGTTTCCTGAAGTTGCTGTGGCCCAGATCTACTTTCCCATCAGATTCATTTTAAGAATACCATTGTAATTAGGGATTACACCATGGCACAGCTGATGTCTCAGAATCTGAAATGGAAATATATTAAGGAATTATTTGCATATATGTAACTCATGTTTTTAGATATGTATGTGCATAACAGTCTGAAGATTTTAAAATATAGAAGCAACTCTTTATCATCATTTTTCGTAGTAAAACTTCCAGTGACATATTTCTCTTTTAGGGGGAGCATGAAGGAAAAATGTTTCAGGTGGTATAAATATTTCTAAGGAAAAAAGGAAGATTTTGATTCCTTAAAAAAATTTTGATTCCTTAAAAAAATTCAAGGTGAATTGAACCATGTCCCCATGGCATCCACTTTTGCTAAAGGAAAGCTGACAGATGTGGACAGAATAATTCCAGTGTGCTTTGGGCATTTCTAATCACCTCTGCTTCAAAGGAAACTAGATAGTCTAGTTTTTTTCTCTGGCACATAACACTCTGGGGTTATGTGCCAGAGAAAATAACTCTTAGTTTAAAGGCTTAATATAAAAGCATGTTTAATATTTCTATTCAGAATTTTCAATTTAAAAAAATAGTATTTTAGAATTTACTTTTGCCACTAAACTATAAATTTGTACTTCACCAGTGAATCACAGAAAAACTTCACATGTATTTTAATAGATATCTTAGTACTGTTAACCATCCTATCTAATAAAAGAGTAATATGCAAATTGACCATTACTCCAAGATACAAGATGGCCACCACAGATGGCCTGCAGGGGAGGGCAGTTGTGGGCAGTTGGAGGAGACCAGGCCAGCAAGGGAAGGCAGTTGGGGAGGATCAGGCCTGCAGAAGAGCACTGTGGAAGAGGTGAGGGAGACCAGGCCTACAGGGGAGGACAGTTGGGAGGAACCAGGCCTGCAAGGGGAGGGCAGTTCTGGGTGATCAAGCCAGCAAGGTAGGGCGGTTGGGGGGGACCAGGCATGCAGGGGATGGCAATTGGGGAGGACCAGGCCAGCAGGAGAGGGCAGGTGTGGGGGGGGGACCAGGCCTGCAAGAGAGGGCATTTGGGGGGGACCATGCCTGAAGGCGAGGGCCGTTGGGGAGGACTCAGGTCTGTAGGGGAGGACAGTTGTGGGGGGGTGGGGACCAAGCCTGCAGGGGAAGACAGTTGGGAGGGACTCAGGCCAGCATTGGAGGCAGTTTGGGGGGGGGGGGACCAGGTCTGTAGGGGAGGACAGTTGGAGGGGCAGGCCTGCAGTGCAGGGGAGGATAGTTGGGAGGGACTCAGGCCAGCATGGGAGGCAGTTGGGTGGGGACCAGGCCTCCAGGGGAGGACAGTTAGGGGGTACGCAGATCTGCAGGGTAGTACAGTTAGGGGTGACTGGTCCAGCAGGCAAGGGCAGTTGGGGGCGACCAGGCCTGCAGGGGAGGACAGTTATGAGTGACTAGACTGGCAGGGGAGGACAGTTAGGAGTGACCAGGATGGCAGGGGGTCAGAAAGGGGCAATCAGATTGGCCAGGGAGCAGTTAGCCGTCAATCAGGCTGGCAGGGGAATGGTTAGGGGGTGATCAGGCTAGCAGGCAAAAGCAGTTAGGGGAAATTAGGCAGAGGCAGGTGAGCAGTTGGGAGCCAGCAGTCCTGGATTGTGAAGGGATGTCCGACGGCCCATTTAGGCCTGATCCCACCATTTAGGCCCACTGGGATCAGGCCTAAATGGGTGGTCGGACATTCCTCATGGGGTTCCAGATTGGAGAGGGTGCAGGTTGGGCTGAGGGACACCCCCTCTTCCCCTGTGCATGAATTTCATGCACTAGGCCTCTAATTATTCTTATAATTATTCTTAGATTTAATATCAAGGAAAGTTGTGTTTTTGTTCCTTAGTGGGGAGATGATGCTTTAATGACAAGGATTAAGTAAAATATGAAGGAAGTTCTTGAAAAACTGGAAGTCCCATGATCACATTCTTTTTTGGTTTAGCTCATAGAAGCAGCTAACATGATATCAGAGTTGGTTCCATCTTTCTTCTTGGGATGCTGTTCTTTCTTCAGATACTACTTTCCCATAGCATTCATTTTAGGAATACCACTATGACTAGAGATTATGTCGTGGCACAGTATATTTCTCAAAATCTGAAACATGATTATAAAAAGAAACTATTTTTAAATGTATAACTTACGTTTTTAGATACTCATGTGCTATAATGTCAAAACAATGTCCATAGTGACTGTGGAATGACTTAAGTGATTGACTGTGAATCCCAAGTGTTTCCTGGACTACCTTGGATTTGCTGCAAATCTTCTGTGCTGTATTCCTGGGTTCTGAGGGGCAGGTGATGATGAGTGTGGAAAGCAGAGGCCTGTGAATCTCCTGGGCCTCAGCAGTTCTGTGTGGAACCCTCCACCTAACTCAGGCTCTGAGCTATCACTGCAGCCCCACTGGATAGGGGCTTCCTGTGTTAAGTGCCCTTCCCTCTCTTTTTACTTTTTCCACAAGGTTTTGACAAATGGAGCAGACAAAAGAAGATGGACTATGTCTGTAGGTCCTGGGACCAAGGGTATCTTAGCACCTACTTTATAGCTGAGCAAACTGAAATCAGGATGGCTCACTTGGGCCAGTGTTCTTTCTCTATTTAGTTCTTAAAGCTGTTATACAGGGTGAAGACACACCCAGGCTTTAAAACCTTTTCTTTCTATTACTGAAGCAACTCTTAGAGTTGGTGTTGCCTTGAGGAGCCTCTCAGGCCAAACCCTACCTTACCTACCTGCTCAGTGTCTTCAGCCAGGGACCCCTAAGTGTGTGGGCTCTGTGAGTGGTGGGGAGTAGTCCACTTGTGAAGAAACTGGCTCTGAGACTGGGCTTCTCACTGTGTGGGTTCAAGCTGTCTCTGTAATTCCCAACTAGTAACCCGGTTCCTCTGGATGAATTCAGACCTTTACCTTTATTGTGCTACAGGAGACAGCCCTCGCACATGTTCACCTCCTGAAGGTTATGAGAAAGACCCATTGAGAACTTCAAATAAAACTTAAAATGATACTAGTGAGCCAGAACTTTTATAAGATAGAAATTGAACAAGAAAGTAATTCTTTAACTTGAAACTTAAATTTTAAATCATAGTATTTGAGCATGTTTGACCCAGGATGTAGCTCATAAATTTTTATAGCTTTCAGAGAAGGAAAAAAAAAAAAAAAAAGATATGCCTGAGGCAATAGAAACTTAGAGAAAAACAAATACCATAGAATTTAGTATTGGTAACATGCTATAGACTAAAGTATACCTGGCTGTCAAATGAATCAGCAGTTAGGTATAGACTTGATTTTCCCAGTGGGTAAGTAGGTATAATTTAAAGTTAAAGCCTTTGAAGCTGTGCATGTGGGTGGGGGGAAGAGAAGGACTTAGGGTTTTATGAATTAATTATTAATGAAAATAGGTCATATAACCTAAGGATCATATACTTTATGTAGAGGATCATATCTCGTTGTGTATTCTAAATAGCATCTAACCTACAGGGTCCGCAGAAACAGAAAATCTTAGAAAAGAATATGATGGAGGTGACATTTGCAGCTGCCCTTTCCAGTTTCTCCTTAGCTTCCTCTCTTTTTATACCATCATGTCTTCTCTATGGGATGAGCTAAGACCAGAAATCACAACATAAAGAATTTGAAAAGATAAATTCAC